CTCAACGTATATACATGGTCTACACAACTACGATCTGGTCTAAATCCAGCTTGTCCTTCGCTGATCTTTTGTTTCCCCTCCAACATGTCTCCCATTCTATTGTCTATCATCTTGCCAAACAGTTTCCCCACTGTGCTCAACAGGGTTATCCCTCTATAATTCCCCGGGTCAGCTTTATCCCCCTTTTTGAACAGGTTCACGACTACTCCTTCTCTCCATCTCTTCGGCGCGTACTCGTGTTTCCATATCCAGTTGAATATCCGGACCAACATGTTAATCATCCCCTCCCCCCCCTGTTTCAAAAGCTCGTTCACAATTCCATCAACCCCTGCCGCTTTTCTATTCTTGAGTTTTGCTACGCAGTCCTCTACCTCTTCTCGTGTGAACTCTCCCTGCAACCCGTCTACATCACGACGTTCCCTCTGAGATCTTTCAACATTTTCCTCTGCCCACGAGTTGATTTCCTTCTCAAACTCCGAGTCGAAGTTGTCGTTGGTGGTGGGTGTCCCAAGTTTGCGGTAGTGCTCTACTAGTACTTCCCTCTTTCCTTTAGAACTGCTTACCATCTTACCCTCGGCAGATCTTAGTGTCGTTATTTCCGTGTCTCCCCCTCTTTTGTTGCCCACTATCCCTTGAATTCCTACCCACATTTGCTTCATCCCCCCCTCAAAATCTTCGTTAGTCTTTTGGACTACTTCCTCCCACAACCCTTTCTTCTTCTTCACGACCAACTCCTTCAACCTCTTTCTACTTTCAACATACTCCTTCCATCCTGCATCTGTTTTCCCTGCCGCATATGTTGCGTGTGACTCTCTACGTACTCGAATTGCTTGCTTGATTTCTTCGTCCCACCACTTCACTGCTCTCTTACAAACTATCAACTTTCTACCTAGAACTCTGCTTGCTGTTGTGTTTACCAGCTCTTCCCACCCTTCTATGATTCTAGACCCGGCCTGGTCCCGGCCTTCGGCATCCTTCGGTGTACCCATTGCCTCCATCAACTCCGAGAGTTTCTTGTCGTTTATAGCCATCTCTTCTTGGAACTCTACCCTCGTTTCTTCTACTTCTAGCTTATCTATTCTCCATCTGTACATTTTCCTGCGTCGCCTACTCTGTATGACTCTCTTCTGGTGTAGGGCTGTCCACACCAACGCGTGGTCTGTAGTGCCTACATCCGTTGTGCATACTCGTACTTCCGTCTCTTTCCCCCCATTCTCTACGACTATATAGTCAAGGATGGAGCGTTCTCCTTTTTTGAAACATTGCCTAGTCCATTCCGGTTCTGTCTTTCGTACTCTACCGTTCAACACCTTCATCTCGCTACTGTCAAGGAACCTCAGCATTTCTTCCCCGTTTTTGTTCGTGGCTCCCTCCCCGTATTGCCCTATGGTTCCGTGTGGGTTCGTGGTTCGCCCGATTCTTGAATTGAAGTCCCCAACTAGAACTACTTCTCCCTTTCTCTTGAAGTTTTGTACATCCGCTGCTACCTCCTCGAAACCTATCCTGATGTCTTTCACCATATTCTTCGACTCTGGTGGCATATATACATTTCCTACGAACAAGTCCTTTCTTCCCCGTTCCCCTGGTACCCTTATCCACATGCTTTCGTTGAATTTGGTGTCGCTGATCACCTCAATTATGTCGCACATGTGCTCCTTGACAAAGAATCCAACTCCCCCCTCCCCTCTACTCTTGATTTTCTGTCCTCTCCTCATTTTACCTATCCATGTGTAGCTTCCCACTTCTTTTCCTATTTCTCCCCCGTCCTTCTCCCACGACTCTTGGACTCCGACTATGTCCAGGTCTTTTTCGGCCGCTTGCTCGGCAATTTCGAGTCTTTTACGCTCATCTGTGGCAAATCCGCATACATTCCAAGACCCTATTCTGATTTCCTTACTCCTACTTTCTACTTTCCTGTGCCTTTCAGGATTCCTTTTGTCCCTCATTTGCCTTCCCTTCTGCCTTATCCTATCGCTGCCCCCCCCTTCTCCTACTTTGGCTTGCTTTCCCTTTTGACCCTTTCGGGCCTCCTGCCCCCCTTTGTTTTCAGCCAGCCTTGGGCTACGCCTTACTTCCTGGATCCTATTTGCTCTGCACACCCTCCAACCTAGTCTCCTCACCCACGCCGACATCTTCTCTACTTCTAGTCTTTCCCATTCTGCGCTTACTCTCCTTCCAAACGTGTTTCTAAAGTGGTTTCCTTCCCTTTCTACCCCCCCCCTTGCGAAGCAACATAATCCTACTTCTTCACATCTACTTTTGAACTCCAACCTTGTCATGTCGCTATTGACCCCAAATATCAACACTACCAGTACTGCACCTTTCCATTCTCTCCTTCTCCACCCTTTGTGCCTCGTCGTCTCCCTCCCTATCTCTTTCGAGACTATCTCGTTCTTTGTGTTTGAAGTGGGATGCTTTCAAATTGCTGGGACTTCCCAATCCTAGTACTTGTTGAGGGTCTGGTGTCTTTCAATTCTTTTGCCGGCTCACCGACACTAAAAAGTGCCTCCAACACGGGCTCATAGCCTGGAGCCAAGTTCAACACCCTTAGCACAAGTACCCCAAGTGTGTGCCAGGCGATCTACATGGTAACCAACCCAAGCGTCCCACGACCGTTTCTTCTCTCAACTTGCCCCAGCTGCTGTACTGGGTACTTTCCTCCGGGGAGGTCATTTTCCCCATGTAAGGTTCAAGGGTGGCTTGCATAACAGAAGGTCTCACTCACACATCGGGATGTCCGTCTCTTCCTTGATTTTTATGACATACAAACATAAAAATCTCCTCCTCGTAGACGCCAGAGGGCACTATCTTCCCTGATGGCGGTCTAAGTCGACCCAGGGTTGATAAATGAGTTACGATCATCAACGTTTGTACGGTACACCATGGGTAGCTACCCCACTAACGCTCCCGAGTAGACCTTCGCTGCCGAAAGCTTGACCAACAATCCCCCCACACTTTGTACCGGCGTCTATCCTTCAAGCTTCAAGATATCTACGTACCGCTTGGTGCTCCTTCTCTTTTGGGTCATTTGGTCGGTCAATTGAAAACAAGGTTCTTGAGTATGTTAGGTCTGACATTTTGTCTTGCATTATCCACCCCTCTCCTTGCGGAGAATTTAGGATAGTGCCTGACCAGATTCCCACCGCCCAATGGGAACCGGTATTGTTTTACGGTTATCTCACCACGAGTCCCCAACCTTCATGTGCATCGCA